TGACTCGCTTACTATCTTGTCATTCGTGGTGTTTCTAACTCTGGATTTGGTAGACCCGCTGTTGCTGATGTCTGAGAAACTGGAACACACCGATTTAGGTTATGAGACAAGGTAGCTAATTTAATCTTGATTATAATAGTGACTGGAAAACAACAAAAAATAATTTGTGGATCTCCTTGTCTCTTGTATGGAAACACTGACCCAATAATGTGTTATGCATAACACTTGGGGACAAGGTTTACCTAAGCCAAAGATTACAGCCTTTGAGAGTGTGGGAACGAAGAATTAGGTTTGGATAATTAGAGCTCGTGAATCCTCTTAATTGTTTGTCTCGTATGAAGTTGAACGACAGCTTATTACATTTAGCGGAGGTGAATGACAATTAATGGCTGACTTTAGAAAAGCGTAAATGGCCTAGTCAACATAAATATGATATAAAATTAGCCAATATTAAACAGTTGGAGATTTAAATTGCACAAACTCGAATCAATTTTTTTCTAAATGAGGAGGTTATTTTGGTAATTTTGTCAAATTATATCCTATAATTGTACAGAATTTCTATAATTTTTTTTTTGTAACACTCATAATTTCTATAAATATGTAAGCCATCCCCAATGTATTTATTGTTTTTGCCTACAAAATAGAGGAACTCAATAATAGGGATAAAATTTACTCATATTCTCTAAATAACAATCTCTGAATATAGAGTGAAAAATAGAGATTTACTATTTTTCCCATATTTATAGATGAAAACATAGTAATGTCTATTTTAATTTGGAGGTAGAAATAGAAGTGTCTTGGAGTATATTTACCCCTAAATACAATTATAGAGGAACAATATAAAGAATAAAATGGGAATACTCTACACAAATTATATCATGCTTATTAGTTTGATAATCCTCATTGTTATTTGGATAAATTATAGGAAATATCTAAACTAATTTCTAAATTTTAAATTTTAAAGTATAAATTTTCTAAAAATGTAAATAATTATTTTGAGAATTCGTAATTTCACCAAGAAACCATAATTTAGCAGGTTTGGACACAAGCTTTTTGTGCAATATTATGATAACATTTAAAATTATAAATATGCAATTATGATAATTATATAATACAGATATTATATTGTTATAACAAAAATGGTTAGAGAACTAGCGTAACAAATATAGGTTAGTTGAACATAACTTATTCAACGTATATACGTTAAAACAGAGAAACAATGAACAATTTAAAACAAACTACTAAAATTATGATCACTAAATTTATTATATAAATCACTTAGATTAACACAATATAGAATCATCTTGTTCACGAACTAAAAATACTAAACTGTAATACACCTTTCATATTTGTTCTAATCATATACAAATTATGATGACTCAAACTCTGAAAAAGTCTTGCACTATTCTCCTAATCGCGGCCATATGTACAGTGATGCTTTCAGCACAGATTTCCCTTTCAACCAATGTTGAGAAATGTGTTAAACATTGCATCCCGAATCAATGTATGAAAACAGCCAAAAACCCTGATGTGAAAATTTGTGAAGAAGCTTGTAAGAAGTTTTGCAATAAACAACTAACAAGTCATGAAGAAGTAGTTGTTCCNGCATCCCGAATCAATGTATGAAAACAGCCAAAAACCCTGATGTGAAAATTTGTGAAGAAGCTTGTAAGAAGTTTTGCAATAAACAACTAACAAGTCATGAAGAAGTAGTTGTTCCTAGAACCAATGATGGTGTTGTCAAATTCATTTGCAAATATAGTTTCTGGGAATGTGTTTCATAATTATTTTCAACAGTCTTCCAATATTTTCTTATTTTTACATATATATATATATATATATATTTTATATTTGTGTTTGTTTGATCTGATACTATATATATGTTGTCACTTTTAATATTATCATGAAATAAAAACATAATAACAACCATGTGAAAGATTTCATAAATCAACATGGAAATTCTTTAATGATATGTTAATGAGCCAAAATACCAAAGAAAAAACATTTAAAATCATAATGATGAACATCTGATATGAGTATTTCTTAATCCTTACTCATCAAATCCTAAACATATAATAATTTAACATCCAATCAAAATAAGATTTAGAGGTGAAATATTCAATAACTGAAAAATTGTTAAAATGTAAAAAAAAAGAAAGTGAAATTGTGTTAAGTTTATTGTTACTACATGAAAATCAATAACTTAAAACGGATATGGTTATGCTTATGTTTTTCTTTGTCATGAAAAACGAAACAGACTCAAACTGACTCTATAAACCATAACGGCAGATCTGCATCCATGTGAACGACAAAAGACGGTTGTTTCCTGACTCTCCGTGCTAGGCTACCGCCTTCTTGTTTTGTGTTCGTCGAACCTGAATAATCTCTGAGCTGAGAAAACCTTCTTGGAGGACCTTGTTGTCTTCCAAATAACTTGCAAAAGCAGGCCATTCTTTTGGTTCCGACACCATCTTCACCAATTGAGAACAATCTGTTGCAAACGTAACCCGAAACTGACGTAGATTCCTCATACATTTCATCGCCCATATCAAAGCCTCTACTTCAGCATGAAGTGTTGATAGAGATGCTCGAACATTTCTTGCTCCCATCAAGCTATCAAAACTTTTGAGAGTTCTATACCATCCTTATCCTGAAAAGGAATCATTTTCCTTCCATGATCCGTCTGTAAAGAACCACCGTCTTGGAATTGCCGGTGTATCAACTGCCTCCGCATGTTGTACTGGTCCATGTTGTAGCAAAGCTTGTGCCTCCATCCATATTGTTGATTCAGTCTCTGCCAATTTGAGCGTATCCCTCGGATCAACATCTAAATTACTACAAACCTTATTATTCCTTCTTTTCCAAATATACCATAAAATCCAAGCAAAGTGACGATCCTCTAGTTTATGCTTATGTTTGTAGTAATATTATGATCAACGTTTTGTCAAACATGAGATATCTTAAAAAAAATCATACATGTGACATATGAAACATACTAGTAACCAAAAATATAGAGTATACACATTTAAAATGTTTTTGATTTGTAATTTTAGTAACCCTTTCAATATAGATAAAATTAAATTCATACATATTTTTAACTTGTCTATTTACACATACACATATTTTCAGAATGTGTAGGAATGTTTGCTTATAAATTTTCCAAAAACCCTTCTAACTTAAGCAAACTAAGGGTCCGATTGGGAGTAATTGTTGAGACTGTAGGCGTTAAAAATAATTTCTATAGAGACCTAGACTTTAAAAGTTGAACGTGGCTTTAAGAAAACGTCAACAGCAAGAAAATACCGACTTTTAAAAAATACTAACGCAAGACTAGAAAAATATTTAAACGGACTGTAGAGACTTTAGAAGTAGAAAAAGTCTTCTACTGATTACAAAACCTTATCATGCTCTCTCTCTCTCTCTATCTCTATTTCTATTTCTATTGAAATTAATGTTTATGTTGATGAAAAATTCCAGCTCTCGAGTTCCATTGTCGGGTTCACGAACAAGTTAGAACCTCCGGGTCTCGATTATCTCTCTCTTTCTCATACCCCTTGACTCGCTTACTATCTTGTCATTCTTGGTGTTGCTAACTCTGGATTTGGTAGACCCTCTGTTTCTGATGTCTGAGAAACTGGAACACACCGATTTAGGTTATGAGACAAGGTAACTAATTATATCTTGATTATAATAGTGGCTGGAAAAGAACAAAAATTGATTTGTGGATCTCCTTGTCTCTTGTATGGAAACACTGACCCAATAATGTGTTATGCATCACACTTGGGGACAAGGTTTACCTAAGCCAAAGATTACAGCCTTTGAGAGTGTGGGAACGAAGAATTCGGTTTGGATAATTAGAGCTCGTGAATCCTCTTAATTGTTTGTCTCGTATGAAGTTGAACGACAGCTTATTACATTTAGCGGAGGTGAATGATAATTAATGGCTGACTTTAGAAAAGCGTAAATGGCCTAGTCAACATAAATATGATATTAAATTAGCCAATATTAAAAAGTTGGAGATTTAAATTGCACAAACTCGAATCAAATTTTTTTTCTAAATGAGGAGGTTATTTTGGTAATTTTGTCAAATTATATCCTACAATTGTACAGAATTTCTATAATTTTTTTTTGTAACACTCATAATTTCTAAAAATATCTAAGACCATCCCCAATGTATTTGTTGTTTTTGCCTAGAAAATAGAGGAACTCAATAATAGGGATATAATTTACTCATATTCTCTAAATAACAATCTCTGAATATTGAGTTAAAAATAGAGATTTACTATTTTTACTATATTTATAGAGGAAAACATAGTAATGTATATTTTAATTTGGAGGTAGAAATAGAAGTGTGTTGGTGTATATTTACCCCTAAATGCAATTATAGAGGAACAATATAAAGAATAAAATGGAAATACTCTAAAAAATGTATATCATGCTTATTAGTTTGATAGTCCTCATTGTTATTTGGATAAATTATAGGAAATATCTAAACTAATTTCCAAATTTTAAATTTAAAAGTATATATTTTCTAAAAATGTAAATAATTATTTTGAAAATTCATAATTTTACCAAGAAACCACAATTTAGCAGGTTTGGACACAAGCTTTTGTGCAATATTATGATAACATTTAAAATTATAAATATGCAATTATGATAATTATAAAATACAGATATTATATTGTTATAACAAAAATGGTTAGAGAACTAGCGTAACAAATATAGGTAAGTTCAACATAACTTATTCAACGTATATACGTTAAAACAGAGAAACAATGAACAATTTAAAACAAACTACTAAAAATATGATCATTAAATTTATTATATAAATCACTTAGATTAACACAATATAGAATCATCTTGTTCACAAACTAAAAATACTAAACTGTAATACACCTTTCATATTTGTTCTAATCATATACAAATTATGATGACTCAAACTCTAAAAAAATCTTGCACTCTTCTCCTAATCGCGGCCATATGTACAGTGATGCTTTCAGCGCAGATTTCCCTTTCAACCAATGTTGAGAAATGTGTTAAACATTGCATCCCGAATCAATGTATGAAAACAGCCAAAAACCCTGATGTTAAAATTTGTGAAGAAGCTTGTAAGAAGTTTTGCAATAAACAACTAACAAGTCATGAAGAAGTAGTTGTTCCTAGAACCAATGATGGTGTTGTCAAATTCATTTGCAAATATAGTTTCTGGGAATGTGTTTCATAATTAGTTTCAAATTCACAAACTTCCATTATTTTCTTATTTTTACATATATATATCTATATATATATATATTGTATATTTGTGTTCGTTTTATCTGATACATTATATATAATATGTTTTCATTTTTAATATTATCATGAAATAAATATTTTCATTTCTTACAATTTTTGTCAGTGTAAACAAACATTTAATATTCAAACTTACGATAGTTATGTTTCACAACAAAATTTTACTTACAATTTTAATAAAAACATAATAAAAACCATTTGTAATCCCAAAACAGGGTAACTCGCCGATAGCTATTGCAGCCAAAGCTTTTATAATCCTTTCTTACGATCGCAATGCTCTTATGCAGATTCGAAATAAGACATACTTTTTCTAATAATTCCTTTTGCTATCTTTTTTTTTATTTTCAGCATTTATTTGGCCACTTGTCGTTGGCTGTCGCAGAGATTCGGGACCTCTGGAAAATTAGTGTTTTCCTAGCTTTCTTTATTTTATGGAATTTGACAGTGTGAATTTCTGTTCCCATAGTTTGGCGCTAGACGGAGGGGGGATACATATTACTCTAACTCATGGCCACAAAACGCTTGATCAAAATGACGTTTGAAATATGAAAGATAAACTCGCAGCACTGACTGCTCCTACAGCTAACTCTTCCGCAAACACCATAGTGCCCGATAAAATCGAAAACCTAGTTCTGAATTTTCGCCACAGGAAGAGCACCAAAATGAGCTCGTGATTTCTCTATCTAAACATAAAGGATAACAATTAATTTATTAAACCCCCTAAAATTTATATTATTACCAAGTTGAAGAAATCTCAGTGTGTAAGGGTTTGACCAAAAGACGTTTTCCAAAATATTTCGGAAAAATTCACCTTGTTATCCTTGAAATCGCTGAGATACCTTAGGTTATTCGCGGAAAAAGGAAGCACAGCAAACCGGGGACGCGACACATCGCTGCACTTCTTCCAAATAACTTCTGTAAAAGTATTTGGAGAAACAAAACTCACTTCAACCTCCCAAAGTCGCGGAGAAACCCAATGTTTTGCAGATGATCTGATGATATTTGCGGATGGTACTAAAAGATCCATTAAGATTTTGAGAAATTTTGATGCATTTGATAGATGTAGGGTCTTCGAATAAGTATGGAGAAGTAAACATTGTTTCTGGCTGGAGTTTCCACTCTAAAACAAGAAGAAATTCTCAGTCATTTCCCCCTTCGAGTCAGGGAAGCTTCCGGTACGTTATCTATGCCTTACTCTTTTAACAAGGAATATGACGGTCCTAGACATGCCATTGATAGAGAAGATTAGGAAGAGAATTGGTTCTTGGACTGGAAGATTTCTATCTTATGCTGGTAGACTCCAATTGATCAAGTCGGTTATAACGAGGTTGGCTAATTTTTTTATGGCTGCATTTAGACTTCCTAGAAGCTGTATCAAGGATATTGATATGTTGTGTTATGCATTTCTTTGGTCGGGTCCAGAGTTGAATAAAAGGAAAGCAAAAGTTTCTTTGGCTGATATTTTTAGTACGAAGCAAGAGGGGGGGGGGGGGTTAGGAATAAGGAGAATGAAAGAAGAAAATACTGTTAGTTGTTTGAAGCTGATATGGAGAATTCTTTCTTTAAATTCAACGAGGGTAAACTGGGTTAAGATTTATCTGATCACGAAAAGCTTGTTCTGGATGGTGAAAGAAAATACCAAAACCGGCTTCTGGATGTGGAAATTTTTTTTTAAAAATGCAGGGAGATTGCAAAACAAATGTACAAGGTTGCAGTCAAAAATGGGAAGAAGACATCGTTTTGGTTTGAGAGTTGGTCTTCTATGGGTTGCTTGATATATGGTGTTTTTGGCACATTCCAACAATGTTTTCTAAAGTATTTTGAGTCTTTGTCGAGTTCTTTCTAGTCTTTTCTGAGTCATTACAGGTCTGGAGTTGCTTTGGACGGAATATGGACCAGTGAACGAAAAGAGTGTAATTTGATGATTTTCACGAAAAACAATCTGCCAGATTGTTCTCGCATGAGCGGAGCAACCCAGTGGTATGATTCCTGATACTTAAGGAATAAAGATTCTATTTTGGGATATGCCCTAGTTTTCCCTTTTCCCTTCAGCCGCGAACAGCCTCCATATATATTATTTTCCTCTTTTATTATTATATTCTACTCTACTTTTTATACAAGAAACCAGACTTGAGCTTTTGAAGATTTGTGATTTAATACTTTGTATCTATAAGGGAGAAGAATCTTTACAACTTTTGGAGAAGATTAATAAACCCTCTTGCTTATTATTTATTGATTCATCATGTTTTCTTCATCTATTGTCTCTGTGTTTTCTTTGTTCATGGCTCAGTAGTTAAATTGCTTAGTCTAAGGTGTTAGGGTATCTAGATTCATGAGCTGTATACAAATAGGGATTATCGTTAATTGTCTCCATTCGTTGTTTCATTTATAGCCTGCATCAAGTTAACCGCTTAGTGCCTGATTCTATGTTTAATATATTCATCAAAAGTGTTTTAAGTTGTTAGAAATAACTTGAATGGGAAACTTGTCCCTAGCAAGAGAAAGTAGATGTTAGGGCGAGTTGTGAACTAATCGAATCTGACCTTATTGTTTTTCTTCATATGTAAAGAAGCTACAGAGATTAGGAATCATTTCTTCTTTGAATTCTCCTACTCTTCTCAGCTTTGGGAACATCTCACGCTTGGTATTCTGTGTAGCTTTCACTCTAATGCTTGAAACGCTATAGTGCCTCTGATATTGGGAAATACTATGAGTAAGAAGAGCATTTTCTGTGTAAGAAAGAGCCTTCCAAGCTGCAGTTTATGGGATATGGAGCGAACGGAACAAGTTAAAGCATGGGGAGCAGTCTATGGCCATCTCTATGCTGAAGAAGATCATTGACAAAGGGGTTAGGAACAAGTTAAGCTTGATGAGAACAAAAAGGGGGAGAAGTATGGATGGTGTTCTCCAGTTTTGGTTAGAAACTAGAGTGTAATTAGTTTTTGAAGTAGGTTATGAAAAGTGAAGTAGTATAAGGAGTTGTAGTTTTTTTGGAAATTGTCTACATTTGGTTGTAAAATAGCGTTTTTGATAGATAAAATTAAAATTCATTCAAAAAAAAAAAATTAGACAAAAAGACACTATCTAGTTCACAACTAAGACTATAGGTTACTTACTTCGAGGAGGTGGTTGTGGGAACCAAAATTTGCACTGTCGATTTTACGTAAAATAAAGAAACTTATGAAGACCCTGACTTTCCATAGCTCCCGGATCTCTGCGAGAGCCAACGACAAGTGATCAAATAAATGCGGAAAATATGAAAATATGATAAAACTAATTTATCAAAAAAGTATATCTTATTTCGAATTTGCGTAAGAGCGTTGCGATCATTACAAGAGATAATAAGGGCTTTGGCCGCGGGGGCTTTCAGCGAGTTACCTAGTTCTAGCAACATAAAACCCTAAACTTGGTTGAGTCACAGCTCGATAACAAAAGACAAAAAAAATAAGAAAAAAGGTTTTGATTGATTTCGGACTGAACCTTATGAAAGGTTGCCTACGTACCCCTTTCTAGGATCAAGTCGAACGTAGTTCAATTGATATAGCTGGACAAGAGATCGAACTGCCTGGGAAAGTTCATCTAGTAATAGAGTGCCAGTCATAGAAACCGAACATGTCGAGAATAAAGCCTAAGTTTCTAAGTGCAGAGAGTTCTAAGTCTAGAAAAGTTTTTTCCAATTTCTTCGTTCTCTTATCCTCGACCTTCTGCTTATACACTCCTTCTCTAGGCGGTTGTTCTTTCCTTTTCCGCCCGATTCGCATTTATCGGAAGTCTTCCATTTATCTCGATCTTTCTGTTTTTCTTTGGAAAACTTCTATTTTTCTTTGAACTTGACATTTATCCAATCCCGCAAATAACGGGTAAACCGTCATTATATCTTTGGGCTGGATCTTGTTTAAAGTCGTGAACGAGCCTTTATCGCATTTTAGGACTTTCCGAGCCGTTTGGCGATTTAGCCATTTTACGACTTTAAACGAGGTCGTTTCCTGATACGATGTCGTTTTAATAAAATATCTCGAGTTAATCGTATAATTTGGAAATGTCCTATGCTTTGCTTAACCGTGTCTGTTTTATACGATTTACTCGAAGTTTTACGAGAAAACAAGTCTTTAGTGTTTTTTATAAAATATGTCGAGTTAATCATATAGTTTGGCCATTTCTAGTTTAACCGTTGCTGTTTTCTACGATTTACTCGAGGTTTTACGAAAAAAAAAACCTTTTACGGTTTTTATCGTAAAACTCCAACGGTAAGACGGATCGAGACGAAACGAGGGATATTCCGATCACGGTTCAGAGTACGATCGAGTCGAGGGGCATAGATGGGTAAATTCAGATCGCCTGTTGGCAAGTTGGAGAGATGTGTTCAGCTCGCCAATAGGCGAGCTGGACACATGTGTTCAGCTCACCAACATGCGAGCTGGTCAAGCAGAGCTAGCTCGCCTGTTGGCGAGCTGGACGGTTGCTCGGTTTCGGTCTTCTCTTGTTTTCTCGACCCGAGATACATTCGGAGAGTGTAAGGAGAAGTAATCGTAGACGTTGAGTTCGAGGTTACCGTTTACCGTTTCGAGGAGTTTGAACGTTACGACTGTTTGCTAATTTGGCCAATTGGACAATCGCGGACTGTTTTAATTGATTTTTTGATGATTTCCAAGATGACGATTGTCAAGTTTACGAAATTCCTTTGTTCGGAAAATCCTTAGATTTCTTCTTGATGTTTTTTCCGTAGTTTTAAAACCTATTCTTAACTTTGCAGAAAGCTTTGGTCGTTGATTCCGTCGTAACCGATTTTGACCCCAACAAGGTCTTTTTGATTATTTCATACTTTGATACAAGTTTTCTGTAACTTCTTATCTTCGTAGAAAGTCCATAGTTTCTTGTACGCTTTCTCCAAGACTTTTAGCCATTGATTCCGTCGTGATCGATTTTGACAACAAC